CCAGTAGTGGAATTGCTGGGTCAAATGGTATCTCTATTTGCAACTTTTTGAGAAAGCGCCATACTGCTTTCCACAGGGGTTGCACCATTTTACACTCTGAACATACATTTTTAAAAATGAAATACTTAATAAGAATAAAAATATCACAGATATCCAAAGCAGGTTGTTTCTTAATTATAGAAATCACTTAATAGCAAAATTGCCTTTTAAAACATGTACCCTTCATTTCCAGGTTCCAGCATACAAAAAATAAAACCTGTACCTTGAGAAATAGAGAGGGTAATATATTTGATTCCAGTGGTAGGTGCTTGAATCTACACATGACAAAATGCTGTAGATCTGTACACAGGGATTAAACTCTGTAAGATGTAATCATTGTAGGAAACTGGATGATGAATACACAGGATCTGACCACACCCTTTGAATCTATAAGTTTTTTCAAAATAACAAAGTTTAAAAAAAAGAAAATGATAAATCCTATGAAATCGTTATTATATGGAGATTAAGGCATGTTAAGGTATTTGGTCTTATGTTTGGAGGAATTTTGTTTATTTATAAAATTTTCTCTTTTTTTTCACTTTAAAGTTGGTTCAATATACAGTTCTTCTCATCCTAAGTTTCAGAAACAAATCCTCTAAGTTGTGTGGTGGATTTTCTATTCAGGGGTATCTCTGTTTTGTTTTTCAGTTTGTGCCGAGAGTTGTGACATCTGCACAGCAGAAAGCTGGAAGAACTATTACAGCTCGGGTCACAGGAAGATGTGATTTTGCTTCAAAAAATAGAATTAGTAGTGGCCTAGCCATAATGGGAGTTTCTCCTCCCATGAGCTCAGTTGTTGTGGAAAAGCATCATCCGGTCACAGTGGTGAGTCCACATTTGACCTTTTGTCAAAAACTCATTCTTCCTGAGGGTTTACAGGAAAAAAAAAACCTGCAAAAATGGCTTGTTGGCAGGACGAAAAGATGCCAAAACTCATGATTTCTAGTACTCAATGTGCCTTTCACTGTTACAGCTTTTATGCATTTATACTTCTCAAATCTGCTTTAAGTCTACCTTTCCTCTGCTCAAAAATTAATCTTGGAAACATTGCTTCTTCCAATATCAAATTTAGTAAATACAAAAGTAAACCAGAGTGTCAGTGGCCAAAGCGTGCAAATAATTTCTTATTTCATTTAAAAAGATACCGAAAAAGTGATATTTGTGGAGCAGATATTTGAGTTGAGGAAACTCTTTTCTACTTTTTCATTTTTGATCCTTTATTTTGGGGTTTTCGTAAGCCTTCTCCTTCTCTCCGAACAATTGTTAGTGTAGTTTTAGTTAAAAAAAATTATGCTGGCAATAAATTCATGTATATAAGGAAGGTGCGTGGAATTTGCAGCAATATCTTTTCCTGGAAAACCTGAGTTTAGTATCCAAATCTTACTACATATTGATTATACACAGATCAAATAAAATATTTAGACCTTAATTTCTCTTCTGTAATAAGAGTGATAAAAGAACAGTCAGCCATACAAGACCAAAAGGGCAGATCCAGAATAAAGCTCAGAAGGCTGGAATGGAAAAGATAGGACAAATGGAGGCAGGAACCACAGGCAGGAGGCGGGAAAGGGGCCTTTTCAATGTGGGAGTATAATCAGAGTTACACAAGAAAAGTACGTATGGATTCTTAATCCTTTTCTTTCTGGGCTGTGAAACTGGATTGACTATTTAATTGTGTATCAGGTAAAGTATAACATAATGAAGTAGAAAACCAGAGATGGAGGCATGAAGACCAGTCAGAAGTCAGTTGCACAGCTCCTTAAGCCCATAGATTATTTCTCTATAATATGTGTGATTATTTATAAAGGGACTTTGAGGTTAAAGAGGACGTGAGCATATTTTATTTTTCATTTAAGCAGATTTGGTTTTGTAATAACAGTAGCAATTCATCCCTAACAGAAGAAAAATCAAGACATTTACAATTGAAGAGTATTTTACTTCTGTAACTGCCATCTGCGTGTACCTGCATGGTACGGGGTCAACTGAGACACCTTCTGCCACGCGCTTTGCACCCCCTCCCTCCACCCTTCTGCTTATTCGGTGTATGCAGTACTTCTCTCGTAATTGATGTGTTGGATAGCCGAAAACTGCATATAGTGTCACCTAAATCTGATTATGTGATGGGCACAGTGGTAAACCTCTGTCCTTTTGTTTTTTCTTCTTCAAACTTTATGCAAAAAATTGAGACCCAGAACTACCTCAAAGTTACTGTCTAATTTGTGAAGCTTTAGCTCCACCTGCTGGACAATTGCTTGCTGCCAGCACGACTTCGTCATCTCTGTATTTAATACCAATGCTAACTCTGTTTCTACGTTTCCTCTTGCCATTTCTCCCCAGGGAGAAATAATGCTTTAGTACGGTTCATTTAAGTGGTTGGAAACTAAAATTTTATACCAATTGAAAGAGTATCACCCATTTGAAATGGTTTTCCTGTTATTTATGTGCAAAGAAACATTATACAAATGATTTACAAAAACTCTTATTTCTCTAGAGGGTAGTTCTATTAGTTAGAAAGTAGAATCTGACATAAGACTTTTTTGATTTTTAGAAGTTTAATTCCTTTTGTAAACAAAAGCTTTATCTTCAAGTTTTTAAAATACATAGCAAATATGTTTTATCAAATATGTATGATTTTGCTTCAGATATTTTAAAGATTTTTTTTCTGAAAAAACCCCTAATAGAAAGAAATCTCTATGTACTAGTCAATGGCATTAACTGAAAACATTAAAGCTTTGTCCTTGGTAAGAAAGCACACGTTAACATTAAAATGCACCCAGACTTTAGTGCCCACATTGGAAGATGTACTACTGAGCTCTGAGGAGGAATATATAATCTCTCCTCAATATGTTTCAAACATTCACTTGTTAAGTTTATAGACTTGTGGTCCATATTAGAGGGCTCCTAGCTTCTGGGAAAACTTTTTGCATTTTCTATAGAAGATGCAGTCAGATTTAAGTTGTTAATAATAACTCTTCTGGGAAACGGAGTGGAATATAAGGCCTATGTTTTTTTACTCCAGAATGAAGGAAGGATCAGACTGACTTCTCAGGACTTCACTGTGTTGCTCAGAATTGTCCACCAGTCACTTACAGAGAGGAGAAAGTTGAACGAAATGGAGGCTGCTCGGGGCTAACTCCTCCTGACACCGCACACTCCCTTTTTATATATAGCATCAAGATCTTGCTGGGTTCCTCATTGAGGAATGACTCCTAGGACTCTTTATGGTCCTCTACATGTGGGTGCCATCAGGAAAAAGATCACATCATGTCTGGATGGCTACTTTATCCACCTCATTGATTATTTCTCCTGGGTGCTTAACAACTGGTTATTGGTTAGGTTATAGATGAAATGACACATAATAGAAATAATTTTGTGGAATTATAAATCAAATGTTTCTCTTTTTTCAGCAAACCATTCCTCAGGCCACTGCAGCAAAGTATCCCCGAACCATCCATCCAGAAAATAGTACTTCAGCTTCCAGGTCTCTGGGACCCAGACCAACTCACACCCCGTCTCTCGCAAGTATTCATTCCATAAAAGTGGTTGACTGAAGTGAACATGCTTATAGTGAGGACTTTTCATTCCTCTGGCTTAACCAAGGATTCCAAGTCTTTAGTTTAAAACTTTTCCATATTTTTAGATCGCTGTGTATACATCATGTTTGTCTTTTCAAAATTACAAGAGACTTTTTCAAGCCATACCATCCTTTGTAACTATATGTAGGAATTATTTTAATGTTATTTTTTTAATTTAAGCAATTAAGTAAAAGTTTTTAAATTAAAAGAAAAACTGGACTTAATGAGTTTTTCTTAATGTGTTCAGGCTGTGGCTGACCAGTAAAGTATATAAATCTTATTTTCTCTACATTATCTCCAAAACGGTATCATTTCCAATGTTACAGTGAAGTGTTTGACATGAAACTTTGGAAAGAACTTTGATTAAAAAATATACTAAAACTAATAAAAATGAAAGGGGTTTTTTGTTGTTGTTGCTTGGCTTTCTTATAAAGATAAAGGTGAAGAGAAATAATGAGTTCTTTGTGGCTTCAATATATCAGTCTTTTATCTTCCCAGTACTCAAACCGGTTAAAATAGCAAGGAAATGGTAACATGCGTGCTTTTTAATATCAAGAGAAAAATTATTTTTATAATAGCATAAAAAAGGAACTCTGGTGGCTGAGTGGCAAGAAGCTGTGCTGCATTCCCAAAGGCACATGGTTCAAGGCCACTAGCTACAGGAGAAGGATGGGAAATCTCATGGGATTAACTGCCTCTTAAAGCCTGCCAGAGGGTCAGCTATAGGTCAATTCCTACTGGATGGTACACAACAATAAAGCATAAAAGTAGAGTTATAGAAACATCAAGAAATTTCCTGTTCGAAAGATCCTACTTCTGGTGGTTTTTTTCTCACCTTCTTCAATACACTGCACTGTAAGACAACCATTGTTCCTTGTCTCTGCCCATCCCAGCTTTGTCCTGTGTTGGCGTTGCCCTAGGCAACCCAGCAAACCCTTCAGGCAGGGGTGGAAGTTCTTCAGCAGCTGAGCAGTAGGAAGAAACCATCTGGGCAAGTGTGATTTAGACAAGCGTCAACTGGCTTACAGTGGCTTTATTGCTGACTCATTGTGTTACCCTGAACCAAATTCTTAATTTAAATGAATCTCAGGTTTCTAATGTATAAAACAAAAATCAAATCTCCCCTATTTCACAGAGGGTGCCCTGGTGGCCTAGTGGATAAAACACTGCGCTGCTAACCCAACGGCAGGCACTTCTAATCCACCAGCTGCTCCACAGGAGAAAGATGGGCAGTTGCCTCCCTCTACAGCCTAGAAACACCTCCTGGAAGATCTGCTGTGAGTCAGCTCCAGCTCAACAGCAATCAAAATTTGAGACCGGAGAGCCTTAAGTTAGGAGTAGTTGCACTTAAATTGATACAAACTGATGCTCACTTTTCACATATATTCCATAGCTTTCTCAGATTACAAGAGTTTCTCATTTTCTAAGGCTATAAATCTCTTCAGAAATAGATTACACATCTTTCATCCTTGAAGCAGCTGGTTCAAACCACTAACCTTTTTATTAGCCAAGTGCCTTAGCCATGCTCCTTAGATTTAAAGAACAAAGCAGCACCATTGTTCCTAAGGCCAGCTACCAAAAACCCACTACTGTAAAGTTGATTCCGACTCATAACAAACCTTCTGTTGGTTTTCCACAACTCCAAGACCTGGCAAGAGGGGACTGCCCATCTTTCTCCCTCACAGTTTCCAGTGGACTACACACTGTGCCACCAGAGCACAATGAATATAAGTTCCCAAACCCAAGTGTTGCTACCGAAGAGAAGTAACTAATAGTTACTGAATTCAACACTAGACGTATGAGATTAGGCATTTCACACATTGTCAACTTCCTCATTCCAGCCCTGTGGTATTCTTGCCCCACTTTTGGAGAAATTAAACCAAAGAACTGAGGAGTTAACGTGCCTGAATTCTCACAGCTATGAAGTGAGAAACCCTCATCTGTCCTACACACTTCTTGGGTTTCCATATGCTATCCTGCTGCCTGCTGCGACTGTGACATTGTTGTGGGTTTTGTTGTGTTGTCGGTTTTTTAAAAAATGCTCCTGGATTATGTTCTTACTTAAGTTATGTCAAATGATAAAAATGGGAAAATCATGTGCAACTTGCCTTAATAAGCAAAACCAAAAATACTTAGCTTTTCATTTCAATGGATGGAAAATATTTTGTTTTTTCATCTACTAGAAGATCTGTCATCTTTGAGAGGAAAATCAATATTACTTCTGGTAGAACATTAAGCCATCAAAAGAAAGAACATAGTGCTGAATGGATAACCATTTAAATAAAGTTTCTCTGTAGGCATTTATGAAACTGCACATTTCTTAGAGCTTGAGTCGGTGTCACTTTTGAATTGGCAGATCTTTTCTGGAAAGAAAAAAAAATAAAGACAGCATTCAGGATTGTTGTTAAGTGCCATGACGTTGGCTCCAACTCATAGTATGCCAGTGTACAACAGCTCAACAGCCTGCCCAGTCCTGCACCAGCCTCATGGCCTCAGCTGTGTTGAAGTCCATTGTCGGAGCTACTGTGCGCTTCTGTCCCACTAAGGGTCTTCCTCTCTTTCATTGATCCTCGAGCTTTTCCAGCCTGCTATCCCTCTCCAGGGACTGGCTGCTCCTGATAACATGCCCATCGAGTGGGAGACGGAGTCTCACCCCCCTCCCTTCTAAGGAGCATTCTGGCTGTACTTCTTTGTTCTTCTGACAGTTCATCAATAATCTTTATCAATACCACAATTTGATAACCTCATCAATTCTATTATTATCCTTATTTTTTATTATTACCATTGTCAGTAGCTAGTGTTTATTAAATTCTATGTTCCAGGCATTGTTACTTATTTAATCCCACAACAGCCCCTTGGAGTAGACACTGTCATTCCTTCCCTAGATTGTAAATATTAATAGTGGCATAATAAGGGCCCATCACTTGCCCACACAGTCGGTCAGCTGCGGTCAGGCATGAACCCACACCGTCTTGCCCTAGTGCATTCCCTTCACCACATCAGTGGATTGCCTCTTAGTCTTCCCTGTGTCCTCTGTATAGCAAAGAAGAAGTTGAGAGAGCAACCCCAGTGTTAGGAGGATAATGTTGTAGGGGTAGGTTTCAACTATACACTTCTTGTGCCAACCGCTGCTTGAAACAATGGCGCATCAGTGGGCTGAGCTGTGTATTTAGATTAGCAGCTTTAGGTGAAACTTGAGCTTTAGGGACTGGTGAAAATAGTGGAAGATGCCCCTATATGTTGCCTGAATGATAATTGTTAAATGAGAGTTAAAATTCCACCTGATATCTATTGATGTTTCAAAGTACCTTGACAATATAGCTCTTAGGAGAATAGGTTTGGGCAATTACCTCAGCTAGCAAAGTAATAGTCAATCTGCCCCTTCCCCTCAGACTAGTGGGAGCACATTTTCAAGTACATTAACCACAGAGTTCCCTTAGAGGGACATGGTGGCATTCTGAGCAAGATAGTTCTTGTGAGACCATTCCTATAAATGTATGCAAACCTTTAGAGTTCCTGGCCCAGTCTTACACCTTAAACAAAAATATGCCTGTGTTTCCTCTAATGGTCTGTAGGGGGCCAAACTATCTGCCAGGCTATATGTTATCATTATTAAGTGCCATAGACTCATAGCAATCTGTGACCAATAGATCTGAACTCTGTCCTATCCTGTATCATCTTCACAATCTCTGACATCAACTAGCTCATTGCTGCAGTCACTGTATCAGTCCACGTGGTTGAGGGTCTTCCTCTCCTTCACCATCCCATCCCAAGCATCATGTTTCTGTCCAAGAAATAACCTCTGCCCAAAGTATGTGAGACGAAGTTTCGTCATCTTTGCCTCCAAGAAGCCCTCTGGTTGCACCTTCTCTAAGACATATCTGTTTGTTCTTTTGGCAGCCCATAGGATATTCAGTACTCTTCTCCAACACCACAGTTCAAAGGCATCAGTTCATCTTCTGCCATCCTTATTCATTGCCCATCTCTCAGCAACATAGGAAGTGACTGAAAAAGTCCATGGCCTGAATTACATGCACTTTAGTCCCCAAACTGATAATACTGCTCCTCAATAATTTAAAGAGGTCTCTGACTGCAGACTTGCCCAGTGCAATATGTCTCCTGACTGCTGGTACCATAGTATAATGTGACCAGTATTATATGCCGACCCAAAGGCAGGCAGTTGGAATCCAGTAACTGCCATATGGGAGAAAGCTGGTTCCTCTCTTTCCATGTGATTTATAGCTTCTGAAAACCCACTGAGTAGTCAGCTGTGAGTCATTTCTGATTTGATGGCATGTAGCAACACAACATCATGAGATCACTGACTAATGAACCTGCTGACATCCCTGCTCATGGCTTCAGATCCTGTGTAAGCCCTGGCTAAAACCAGGAGGGTACTGCTGTTGCTCACAGTTACTATTGTATCTGTCAAACACCCCTTGCCGTTTTAAGGAAGGGGTAGATGGGTAGTTTATGTAAAAAAAAAAACAAAGACCCAACGAAAAATAACCCACCAGCTAGTTCTGGGAAGCCTGCGCATCCCAGCTCTTCATCCACGTGCTTGGTGGGATTGGCCTACATCATCGGGACCCCGTGCAGCCAAATGAGCAGAGCCTTGTGGCCGTGTTCACGGAAGCTTTCGTTTCCTAGCCAAGCACAAAAGGGCAGAGGTGAAGCACCACAAGCTGATGGCTCTTCCCCGAGTCTCAACTGTTAACTTCTCTACGTTTCTGTGATTACACCTTCATCCCTTTTCTGAGGAAAGCTCTTTCCTCTCCTCACTGGTGCTCCTTTCAGATGACCCCAGTTTGAATTCATTGCATTGTCCATCATGCGCCTAGAATCTGTACCCAGACCCAAAGATTTAACAGGCACAGACCCTGCGCCGTCCGTGCTCATGAGCCTTCTGAGTGAGATCTCTCTCTTTGTGTTCCTGCAGCACTGCTGTGTTGTTGTTGACAGATGTCCTCAAGGTGACTCCAGCTCAGCGACCCTGTGAACAACAGACCTAAACCTTGTGCTGTCCTCACCGTCTCTGGCATGCTGTAGTGCATTGTTACAGTCACTGTGTCAGTCCATCTCTCCGAGGGTCTTTCTCTGACCCTCCACTTTTCTGAATATGATATCCTTTTCTGAGGAGTGATCCCTCCTGCCATCATGCCCTCTGTTTGTGAGATGAAGTCACACCATCCTTAACTCTTAAGGAGCAGCCTGGTTGCACTTTCTCCGTGACAGATTTGTTTGTTCTCTGGACAGTCCAAGGGATATTCAGCACTCTTCACCAACACCACAATTCAAAGGCATCGATTCTCCCGTCATCCTTTTTCATTGTACCAACTTTCAGATGCACAAGACACAATTTGAAAACACTGTTATTTGGATCAAGCTATAGATAGTAATTCTCAAACTTAAAGTGCATGCTTCATGAGACGACTTGATTAAAGCACACATCCCATTTTCGTGGATCTAAGAATCCGTATGTCTGACAAGCTCTCAGCTGCTGCCGTGACTGCTGGTCTGTAAACCACACTTGGAACAGCAAGCAGACACCAGCTGCCATCCAGGTTCAAGGAAACCGCACTGATTGAAGTCAGCATCCTCTGTGCCAGGATTATTTATTCAGCAAATGCTCTCCAGATAGGTGTTGGGGAAGAACTGGGATGGGAGGTGAGAAGCCTTTGTCACTCCCAGCAGGAGTTCACACTTTATAGATATTACACATCAAGCTCAGGCCTTGATGGAAGGAGAGCTTGTGCCAAGGTGGAGGGAACAGAGACCTGACGGCACAAAGGATGTTGTAGGAGAATACACTGATCCCCCCAGGACTTCAAACTGGCTCTTCAGAGCCAATCTCCTGCTGAAAATTTGCATTTTTGCTTCAGCTATACTGAATCAGAATCTTGATTTTAACAGGGTACACTATAAACCTTATGTATATATCTAAGAATCGGCTGAGAAGTATATAAGATTCACCTGTAAATCTGTAAGCATCACACTAGAATTTTGTATTTTGTTGTTAGGTGCCATCTGGTTTACTCATAAACTACAACTCATAGAAACCTGTGAACAGCAGACCTGAAAGTTGGCCCATCCTACACCATCTGCATCATCTCCTTCATGCTTGAGCCCATTGCTATAATCACTGTATCAGTGATCTAGTTGAGGGTCTTCCTTTCTTTCTCTGTATCTCCACCTTTCCCAGCGTGATGTTTTCTTCCAAGGACTGATCCTTCCTGACAACATCCAAAGTATGTGAGATGAAGTTTCGCTGTCCTTACCTACAGGGTGCACCTTGGCTGCCCTTCCTCCATAACAGACTTGTTTGTTCTTTTGGCAGTCCATGGGCTCGTTCCTCTTCTCCAACACCCCAATTCAAAGGCTTCAGTTCGGTGCAACCACTGTGGAAGGCGGTATGGTGCTTTCTCAAAAAGTTGCAAATAGAGATCCCACTTGACCCAGCAATTCCACTACAGGGAATATACCCCAAAAGAGACCATAACTGACATTGAAGTAGATGTATGCACACCCATGTTTATCGCAGCTTTGTTCACAATAGCAAGGAGTTGGAAACAATCTAAGTGCCCATTAACAAACGAATGGATAGAGAAGCTGTAGTATACTCACACAATGGAATCCTGCACTGCCTTGAAAAACAAGGAACTCATGCAATATTATTCAAAATGGGTGACCCTGGAGGACATTATGCTGAGTGAAGTATCTCAGTCACAAAAGGACAAATACTGCATGGTGCCACTGTTGCAGAATGGGACTGACATCAGGGTTGGCGTGAGACTGAGAAAGATGGGTTCAATAATGTATATTGCATTGAAACATGAGGGAGAAAACTGTTTAAAAGGGATATGTGATTAGGTATTTTTGTCATGACAGGATTCCAGAGTAAAGGCTGCATAGTGGAGTGGGCCTGGGGGGAGAGATTGTACAACAATGAATGAATTTTTCTTTACTTTTCCGAGAGGGTAGTGTACTTACTGAGGGGGAGGGTTGGGAGGGAAGAAAGTGCAACAATGAATGGATGGAAATCCAAAGTCTCTCTAAATTTTCACTGACATTAATAATAAATTTTTAAACAAAGATAGGCTGTCCAAATCTACCATCTGCTCTGTGGGAGAAAGATTGGCAAACAACTCTTGTGTCATTTGCTGCCTCTGAAAACCCACTGGAGGATTCACTGTGGGTTGGTTCTGTCACCATGGTCCACAGCAACAGATTGAATGGGTATGGAGAGAGGGTGCTACTCTGAGGCACACCTTTCCTGATTTTAAACCATGCGGTCTTCCCTCTTTCTGTCCAGACAACTGCTTCTTTGTGTAGGTTTTGTATGGACACAATTAGGTTTTCTGGGATTCTCATTCTTTTCCATGTTCCTTATAATTTGTTATGATCCATACAGATACAAGAACAATTTATGATGTTCTTGTTAGTTGCCATCAAGTCAACTATGACTTGCAGCAACCCTCTGAACCACAGATCTGAATCTTGCCCCATCCTGTGCAATCCTCCCTATCTGACTTACTCAAGCCCATTAGCAGAAAAAAAAAAAAAAAGAAAAAGCAACAACTTGCCCTGTTAACCATGTTGGAACCATCTTGTAATACAGAATGGTGGGTACCTTTAAGCAGTCGTGTAATTCCACTTAGACGTTACCACTTATCCCTGCTAATTCTGGTTTCTAGATATTCACCGCTGGCACTCTGTCTTTCAGTCAATTGTGATTTTGTAAACTTGCATGTTTACTCCAACTCTACAAAAATGTATTCTTTTTGTTGTCTGACTGTCTTCACTCTGTGAATATGAGTGCCCTGGTGTGGAGCATCCCTGCCCCTCAGGAAACCACGCCAGCTGTTACTTTAAGTAGACACTGTCATGGTGCCATCACATGACAATGCCAAGCAGACTCTTCCGAAAGAGTGAGAGCCCTGTGGTGGTGTAATCTGTAGCAAGCTATGCTGCTAACCCCAAAGCTGCTCATCCCCAGTGGTTCATGTGCTGGTGGCTCCGCGGAGGACAGTCTCCTATTGCAGTTGACAGGAACCAGCTCAACACCAGTGAGTGAGTGAGTGAGTGAGTGAGTGATTCAAGTAACAGCAGCTCTGGTGGCACGGTTTTTAAAGCGTTCCACAGCTAACCATAAGGTCCACACTCTGAGCCCACCAGCTGCTCCCATGAGAATGTATAGCCTTATAACCTCACAGGCAGTTCTTTCGTTTCCTACAGAGTCACTTTGGGTCAAAATAGATTCAATGGCATTGGGTTTGATTTTGTTGTTGTTTGATCAAGTAACAGAAAAGCAAAGCTCAAGGAACCCAGCTGAGTTCACGAATTCTAACAACTGGGGCGGGGCTGAAGTGGTGTCATCACTTGGAAGCATTTAACTGGGTGTGAGCCTCGTGTCTCTCATGGGACAGTAGGCTCTGCCAAGTCCAAAGGCTCCAAGTTTCCTTCTTCAGGGTTGAAATCTCTGTAGAGAGGGGAGCTCTAAACAGGGAGTCTTTGACTGCATGTAAACCTGAACACCCTGTGTTATTTAGTCGGGGTGATTTCTGAGTTACAAGCCAGTTGTTGATTCTGCTTTCTGAGGGTTTGTTAAGTTGCAAAGTGTACTCCTTTCTAAGCTAAAGGCCATATTTGCAATATGGTTCAATAAAAAAAGACCCTCCTTTGCAAACTTCTGTTTGCTGCAGATTCCTGTTTACTTGCCTCATTCCCCAGCCACTTCGTGTACCTCCACCAGCTATCCTTCTCCCTGGGGCCCTTGGGGTGTTGCAAGCATGTCTGTGAGGAAGACTGTGATACCCACATGGGTATCCTCAATGGGTTGGATCTGGTCTTCCATGAAGCCCCACGAACGGGCCAGCCTCTTTCACGTGTTGGCTTTTATCTGATGGTAAGCCAGGTTCCAGAGGCAGGTGCAAATGTGTCTGGTCTCCAGACTGTGATCTTGTTTGAAGGACAGAGGAAAGCTGGAGGCTGGGTCCTCAGTGGTCTCATGTTGACTCTAAGTGGAAGATATGTATCAGGCCATTTCAGACTTGTTCTACTTATTCTAGGGCACATAGCTGTTTTTTTACCCCAAGCCACCCAGCTGGTGTAGTGTTTAAACAGCTGCTTAAAACCTGGACAGCAGTTTGAACCCACTTCACGCTCTGATGGAGAAAAGCCCTGGTGATCGGCCCCCATAATGATTATAGCCTTAAAAACTCCATACGGCAGTTTACTCTCATATGGAGTCAGAACTGACTTGAACCACCCAACAGCAGCAATTGCTGAGGTAGTGACCCAGACTGATTTTTTTTTTCAATTTCATCTACTATTAGACCATTTTTGTCATCCAAACTGCACATAGATGTCTGAAGCAAAAAGGTTAGTAATGTGTGTACCTGACACAGGAAATATGAGGGATTTTGCAATGTCACATGCTTCTATTTCCGCCTTAAATGTGCCCATAGGGTGGGTGGGGGAGGAAGGCAGAGAGGATGTCAGGGTCAAGGAAATGTCAAAATTAAAGTGCCTTTAATATCTTCTCTGTTGTTGTTGTTATGTGCCATCGAGTCACTTGCGACTCATAGTGACCCTATGTACAACATCCCTAAACTCTGCTCTGTCCTGTGCCAATCACACCATCTCCGACACACCCATCCCGATTACCCCAGTCACTGAATCAATTCACCTCATAGGGGGTCTTCCCCTTCTGCGCTATCCCTCCACCCTCCCAAGCATGATGTCCCTGTCCAGGGACCTGTCCCTCCTTGCAACATGTCCAAAGTATGTTAGACGGAGCCTTAGAATCCTTGCCTCCAAGGAGCAGCCTGGTTTGACCCTTTCCAGGATGAATCTGTTTGTTTTCCTAGCAGTCCCTGGTACCCTCAATACTCTTCTCCAGCACCACAGCTCAAAGGTATCAATTCTCCTTCTATCCTCCTTAGTCATTGTCCAACTCTCTGATGCATAACAAGTGATAGCAAAGACTATGGCCTATATCAGACACACCTTAGTCTCCAAAGAGACACCATTGCTCTTCAGTACTTTGGAGAGGTCCCTAACAGCAGACTTTCCCATGGCAATATGTTTTCTAATTTCCTGGCTGCTGGTGCCAAGAGTGTTGACTGTGGAGCCGAGCAAACTGAAGCTGTGAACACTCCATCCTGATGCTGCCAATTGGCCCAGTGGTGACAATCTTTGTCTTCTTGACATTGAGCCTCAGTCCATATTGGAGGCTTCTCTAGCCAATGATTAACTTTTTCTTTTGTGCTGAAGTAATTATTGTATTATGGAGACAGGATTAGGATTAGCCTGGGTACAAGCCCCACCCTAGTAGAGTTGTATATAAACTCATGGGACCTCCATGCCAGGTGCTTTCTTCTTTTGAAAAGCTCTCTCTCTTGGGACTTAGCTTCCAGCTGCTCACCAGTCTCTACACCACCAACCTCCGTCACCCACAGTCATCATCTAGCTGTGCCACAAGTGACAATCTACAGGATCCTGGCCCATTGCTCACCAGTTTCTCCAGAACCAGCCTGCATACCCACGGTCACTTGAGTCAGTCTCCCAACAGGTCTGAGTCTCTGAGAGACCTTCTAGACAATCTTAAACCAAGATCCATAGAGGAATTGGGAAACTGAGCCACAGATGGAGCTTCTTGTATTAGAAATGAGGGATGCGTACCAATTGGCAGCATCATGATAGATGGTGAAGAGATTGAGATTGTTAACAACTTTAGTTTGCTTGGCTCCACAATCAACACACTTGGTTCTGGCAGCCAGGAAATAAAAAGACAAATTATACTGGGAAAGTCTGTTGTAAAGAGACTTCTCCAAAGTACTGAAGAGCAACGATGTCAATTTGTAGAGTAAGATGTGCCTGATACAGGCTATGGTCTTTGCAATTACTTGCTATGCACCAGAAAGCTGGACAATGACTAGGGATGACAGAAGGAGAGTTGATGCCTTTGACCTATAGTGCTGGAGAAGAATATTGAATATGCTATGGACTGTTAGGAGAACAAATAAGTTCATCCTGGAGAGGGTGAAAGCAGGCTGCTCCTTGGAGGCAAAGATTCTGAAGCTTCATCTGACATACTTTGGACATGTTGCAAGAAGGGCTTAGTCTTTGTAGAGGGATGTCATGCTTGGGAGGTTGGAGGGACAGTGCAGGAGAGGAAGACCCTTGATGAGATGGATCAATTGATGAGTGACTGGGGTAATGTGGCTAGGTGTGTTGGAGACAACAAGATTGGCACAGGATAGAGCAGGTTTTTAGGGTGGTTGTACATAGAGTCTATATGAGTCGCAGGCAACTCGACAGCACATAGTAACAACGGCAAAAACACAGCTGGTTAGGCATTTGAGACTATGCTCACCTGAGACTTCTTATAAATATTTATCTTAGGACAAATTATGAAAACAAACATGATTCCCCTTTCCTTCTTGGGTGTTTGATTTTCTCATACTGAAGTTTCAGCCGGCCTAGATAATGTGTACTGCTAATAAGACCCCAAGAGGGGTCCCTTGGTATTTTCTGCTCTTACGGGAGTCTAGAACAGACTGGGAATGAACAGAGATCATTTTGGTTTAAGCCAACTTCGACCCAACATCTCTGCGCCTGGATTGCTATGCTGTCTTCTGATGTTTTTCAGGGAAAAGTCTTCAAAAGAAGAAGACCTCAAAAGCAGACAAAGACATCCTCATCTAGTATGACCGGACATTGCTTATAGCTGACCCTCGTCGCTGCGAATCCAAGAAGTTTGGAGGCCCTGGGGCCCGTGCACGTTACCAGAAATCCTACCAATAAGCCACTCTTATAATAAAAAAGTTATGAGATTTTAAGGCTTCAAAATAAAAAAAAAATTTTTAAAAAGCAGACGTTTGCCTCTTCTGCAGAATCCACCAGAGTCTTGCAAATTCAAAACAAACAAAACAAGCAGACACAAAGCCCTGGAGAAAATAACTCCGTGAAAGCACATGCTGCGGCATCCTAGAGCTACTTTTGTCATAAGCATAATATTGAAAAAACCGGCAAGTAGTGTAGAGTCAACTGTCGGGCAGCTCTGCGTTCTCTCACACATAAGGAACGACAATCAGCCTCCTCTGTGGTGCTGCTCACGTCTGCGTCTCCAGCCTCCACTTTAGTAACTGAGGGCCCAGTGGCTGTACCAGCTGAGGACATGCCTGCGCCATTAGGGCTCAGGATCGTTCTCTTGACCCACCTCCCTTTCACTGCTGGGGACCCAGAGAATCACAAGGCACCCCACTATCCTCAGGAGTCACCCTCCTGACAGGACACAAACCAGCACCACTCTCGGTTCTCTACCACACTTCTCACTCACTCATCTCTTCACTTTAATTTCAGCCCTCACCTAAATCATAAATAGGAGGCTGAGGTACATTCAACCTATCATAACTGCAAAAAAGCATACTCATCCAAAGTGTTGGAGACCTATATATTCTCAAGGGAGCTCTGGTGGCCTATTTGGTAAGGAGTCGCTCTACCAAACCAAAGGCATGCATCTACTCTGAGGAAGAAAGATGGGCATTCTCCTCCCATGTGGTTTACAGCCCCAGAAAACCTGCTGGAAAGTCAGCTATGAGTCGACTTGATGTCACGTAGCATCAACAACACAGGTTTTCATCTCCCTTTTCATGTATGACTTCTGGTTTTTTTCTTACACTTAAAATGAACATTAATAGAAAATATTCTAAATAGCAAGAAAATAGTCAACACAGGGGCAGAAAGTGGGCTGGAAGGGGATGTGGCCTTGGTTGTCAAAACCTGTGAGAAGAAATTAGACAGGTCTGCTCCTCAGACCCTCCCAGGACCACGACCTCCAGCATAGCATCAGCAATCTCTCCAGTTATCCACCAACTCACAAATAAATGTTCAGTTAAACAGAAAGGAAAGCCTTTTCTCCAGTTACTGGGCTTCATGAACAGAAGTTGGAATGACAATGAGGGTTGCAAATGACCTTAATTACAAATGACCTTAATTGGACTGTAAAATACAGGATGTTCTCTAAGCCCTCCTCAGCCTTACCCCTAAATGGCTACATCCCAGGGAGTGTCCAAAGAGATGAGGCATGGTGAACCAAGTCAACCAACTGGAAAACCACCGGTTCCCTTTTCTCATCACTCCATCTCATGAAACAATGATGAATCCCAAACCCCAAAAGCCAACTGCATGAGAGAGGGGGAAACAGCTCTCCATGTGTCTGCACTCTTGTCTTTTTGTTCCTTTGAGAAGCCTGGATGCTTTGTGCCCTCTGCAATGGGGCTGGGCCACTCTGCTGGCTTCCACTAGAAAGTGGATTTGGAAAGCTCAGGTCTTCTCAGCAGTCAGTGAAAGCATTAAATAGCTTGTCTGCCAAAGCACTGAGCTATTTGCAGGAGAAACATGAGCCAGAACCGATGGAAATTAAAATAGCATAGACCAGATTTTAGAAAGCTTGAGTTTGCCTCTATCCCACTGAATTTCATGATAGATGATTGGGTGGCTGAGTTAGGTGGGTAAATTGATATAATAAGAGAGGAAATTTCCATCATCTCTAATCTTTTTACTCAGAACCATTTTATAGTAGGTGAGGGTATCAATTTATTTAATGAACAAAGAGAATTTAAAATCATGCATATGATAAAAAAATTCAAAAGGACTTACATGAAAAAAAATAAGTGTTCTTCCAACCCTGTCCCTGTGCCCCAGCTTATCACCAGGGCTAACAACTCTGACCATTTCTGGAGACTCCAACTATATTTATGCATTAAATAATTTTTTTTTCAAATTTCATCTAAATTGCTTACATCATAAAGATTTCTTAGGGGAAAAGTAATTTATTCTCATCTAACCAAAAGAATCTTTAAAAAAAAATCTCACAGGAATTAAAAATAGAACCAGTGACTATTTCTATGTTTTAAGAAAATGTGAGCACAAAAATGTAAAGAGCGAGAAAAGAGCTTGGTCAAATTGTCTTGAAGAAAATAAAGGGATGATGTAAGAAAGGAGAATGAAGATGAAAGGGAGAGGAGACAGAGTAACAGGACGAGGGAAAGAGGACGTGGTTGCAGTTGGTAGGTGCCCTGGAGCTGACAACTCATATGGCCCAGGGACAACAAGCGAAGACCTCGTCCTGCCCTCATGATCTCATTGTCACCAGCCTCATGATCTCTGTCTATTGTTGCAGGCTCCATATCAGTCTGTCTCCTTGGGGCCTGCCTTCCTTTTGCTAATGTTCTGCTTTTCTCAGAATGAAGTCTTTTTTTCAAGGGCTAGAACCTTCATTTTGCTCTTTCTTTCCTGCATTTTTATTGTCCTTTTGCTTTCTTCATGTTTGATGTCATCCCACAACCTAGCTGATCTTCAGTTATTACTGTGTCCTTGAAATGTTTTGGTGATTATTGTTAGGTACCGTTGAGTCATGTATGACTTAACAACCCTCTGACCAACAGATCTGAACCCTGCCCTGTCCTGTGCCATCCACACAATCTCTGACACACTTTAGCTCATTGCTGCAGTCACTCTTATCAGTCCATCTCATTGAGGGTCTTCCTCTCTCTCACCTACCCTCCACCTTTGTAAGCGTGATGTTCCACAGAATAGTCTCTCCTAGCAACATGCCTGAAGTTTGTGAGATGAAGCCTTGTCACCTTTGCCTCCAAGGAGCATTCTGGCTGTACCCTTTCAAAAAAAAAAATCTGTCTGTTCTTTTGGCAGTCTGGAAGATATTCAGTACTTTTCTCCAACACCACATCTCAAAGGCATCAGTTCTTCTGTCATCTTTACTCATTGTCTTGTTTTCAGATGTATAGAAGGTGATTGAAACCTTGACCTTAATCAGGCTGCCTATGGTCTTCAAAGTGACATCATTGCTCCTCAGTAATTTAGAGAGGTCCTTTACCCAAAGCAATAAGTCTCCTGAGTGCTGTACCAAGTGTGTTTATTGTGGATCTAAGAAGTAAGAAGTTGTTGACAACTTCAGCCTTTTCTCCATCTATGATGATGTGGTCTATCAGCCCAGTGTGAAGAGTTTTGTCTTCTTGATGTGGAGATATAATCCATATTGATTTGATCTTTTATCTTGTGCAGAAAGCATTTTAAGCATTTTTGTTGTTGTTCTTCTGGTCATGTTTTTAAAAAGGAAGGAGAAAACTTGTTATGTCATTATGTGCCATTGAGTCGGAACCCAATTGCTAAATGTTGAAGATGTTTTATTTTACAGAATAAAAGAAGATATACCCCATGAGAGATGGAGAAGTGATTGAGATTGTTAACAATTACAGCTTGCTCAGCTCCACAATCAACACTCTTGACACCAGCAGTCAGGAAACCAAAAGATTAATTGCACTGGGAAAATCTCCTGTCAGGGACCTCTCCAGAGTGCTGAAAAGCAACAATGTCAATCTAGAGACTAAGGTGTGCCTGATCCAGGCCATGATCTTCACAATTACTTGCTATGCATCAGAGTACTGGATAGTGACCAAGGATGACAGAAGCAGAATTCATATCTTTGAGTTGTGGTGCTGGAGAAGAGTCTTGAATATACCGTGGACTGCCAGTAGAACAAACAGGTTCGTTCAGGAGAGGGTGAAACCAGGCTGCTCCTTGGAGGCAAGGATTCTGAAGCTCCATCTGACATACTTTGGACATGTTACAAGGTGGGACCAGTCCTTGGAGAGGTACATCACGCTTGGAAGGGTGGAGGGACAGCACCAGATTTGAAGACCCTGGATGAGATGGATTGACTCAATGACTGGCATGATGAGGGTGGATGAGTCAGAGATGATGAGACTGGCACAGGATAGGTCAGAGTTCAGAGCTGTCATACATAGGGTTGCTATGAGTCACAAGCGACTTGATGGCACTTAACAACAAGTCCTATCTACAGCCCTGGGACCAAACATTTAAAAAGCCTCAAACTCATAGCTTACTTTGCATCCAGTTTCCAATAATGCAGATTGCAGAGGAGGAGACTGCATCCTTTTCCTGCAGATTGAAGCAGAGAAGCATGCGGCCTTTGGGTTAGCAGCACAACTCTCTATGGACTGCACCACCAATTGCTGTTGTTAGGTGCTGCCGAGTTGACTAGACTCAGACTGAGCATATGAACAATGGACCAGACCCTATTCTGTACTGTCTCCACCATCCCTAGCACGCTAGAGCCCCCCAGAGCTCCGTATAATAAGCTGAATGGCATGTACCTTTGACCAATAATGTAATCCTACTTCTATGTTTAGACCTATTGATATCAGATCCTCTCATCTACATAATTCCACTTTTAACTCCTCCAATCGCCTTTCAGCCAATTAAGAATTGACCTGTAGGTCCTGCTCCAAAAATAGAACACTGTATTCTCTTTTGTGACATGTGGATGCAACCATTTTCCCCTCTGTGGCAATGGCCACTTTCCTGGCCCAGACTTCCTCTGTCCCTCAATAAACTTTATTTGCTTTTATTTGAGTAGACTAGATGATTTTATTCTAGGACATAAAACATTGGAACCGTAAACCTACTACCTAAAGTATCTCTTAACTCACAGAAATCCAAATGGATGAGTAGAACTTCTCCACAGGGAAGCGGAGACTGTAAACCTCCAGGTAAACAGACTGCTACATCATCTTCCACAGAGCAACTGAGAGTGCAAATTACCCACCCTTGGGTTAGCAGCCTAGCACTTAAACACTGCCGCCAGGGCTCCCATGATGGAATTAAGGGGGATCCTTCAGCCCAGGGTGGAAACAACTCATCCCTAGAAAGTGAGGGCAGAGTCTGGTAGTAAAATGCCTATCAGAAGGAACAGACTTCACCTCAGGGAGGAGGCCACTCTACTGAACAGATATTATTTTTAAAATGCAAATTTCTTGCCATCACGTCAGAATCCACTCATAGCTGACCCTCTAGAAAGAAGGTTTCTAGAGACAGTAAATTGCACAGATTTCCCATCTTTCTCCCGAGGAACAGCTAGTGGATTCAAACCATACACCTTTGAGTTGGCAGTACAAGTCCTTTACCATTAAGCCACCAGAGTGCCACTGAGCAGACATTGGTGGTTACTGTGTAAATTGAGATGGAATTGACTCATAGCTGACACTTCAGTGTTTTTCAGAGGCTATAAATTGCACAACGGGAGACTGCCCATCTTTTCCCTGTGGAGTAGTGAGAGGATTCGAACCATGCACCTTTAGGAGGGCAGCGCAGCTCCTTATCACTTGGCCATCAGAACTCCTTGAGCAGATGTCGTTTTTGTTGGTAGGTGACATCAAGTTGAGTATGACTCAGAGTCACCCCATGAACAGCCAACCCCAACCGTGCCCTATCCTGTGCCATCCTCATCATCTCTGAAACACTCAAGCCCATTGTCACCATGTCAGTCCATCTCATTGGAGGTCTTCCTCTTCTTCCCTGACCCTTCATCTTCCCAAGCGTGCATCCCTCTCCATTGAATCGTCTCGCCTAGGTACATGGGAGCAGACATTGAAGGAAGAAAAAACGAATGAAAAAAGGTAGGAAAATGACTTTGAGACTAGTTCTTGTATGAGGGTGTTTCAAGCAGAATGTTTCACTGAATACCTGAGTGCTAGAAAGTCAGACGTGTTGAAGACTGCCAGGTCATATGTGTGAGCTTTTTACCACTTATTAGAATGCCGGTCTGGAAGCTTCCAGAAAAGACCATGGCCTAGTCATTCACTCACCCATCCACTCACCCACTTACCCATGCATTTACTCCCCCACACATTCATGTACTCATCCATCCACCCACTCACTCACTCACCCATGTGTTTACTCCCCCACTCACTCAGCAATTCATTCATCCACTCACCACCCACTCACTCACCCCTCATTCCCTCACCTAGTCACCCACTCACCCAATCACCCCTCATACCCTCACCCAGTCATGCACTTTCTCACTTAATCACCTCCTCACTCACCCTCTTACCCCATAACTTATCCACTTAAAAAAAAAATAAAAGGTAAAACAGAAAAGACCATGGCCAGAGACTGGGACAGAGGGACAGAGCACACAGCCAGACGATGGCATGCACGGTAGGCCCCCTGAACTCTCTCATTGCCATGGAGTCAGAACCAACTTGCAGCTGATGCTCCCCTGGCTTCTCAAGGCCATGAATAGCCTGGAACTCCAAGTCACCAGATAGGCACAGGCTTTGGTTCACAGTGAGTCTGTCCACTTATGGACTGCACCATCGGGGCCACTCTGCTTCCTGGTGCCCATAGGGAGCCTAATGGCTCAGTGGTGGAATTGTCACTTTTTATGAGGGAGGCCCAGGTTCCATTCCCAGCCAATGCAGTCACCTCCCAGCTGTCAGTGCAGCCTTATGTGATGCCACAACACTGGGCAGATTTCCGCAGAGCATCCAGACTGCAATGAATGACGAAGTAAAGCCTGACTGACTAGTTCTCAAATGTCCAATGGATTCCATGGCCTCCTCCTTCTATGCCATGCACAGAATCATCATGAGTTGGGAGGAAGTAGCAGCAACGCTGATGACACCAGAGGAAGAAGGAGAGAAGCAGAGATGCTTGTTCAAGCAATGAAATAGGGAGGCACAGGGCAGAAGGGACAGCAACAATTGTACTGACATGATTCTGCCAATTGGAGATAAATAGTAATGATTACACAGACCCCACACTGTCCCTATAAGACAGGGGTTGTCAGAAGACACCTTTTCTGTGCTGAAATACTCTTTCCTACCTCTCTCCAGGCATAGAACCTCTCTGCTTTAATAATCATGTGCACAACAAGGCTGTGGTTGCTCCTGGAGGCCTGGGCCAGGGCTGTCCTTCCTAGCTGAAAAAGAAAAATTCAGGCTATATTGTCTAGTTACCCAGCTGTAGAACAAGGAGGCCTGAGTTCATGTCCTGAGTCTTCCTTGCTGGGTTGAACCCAGGCCCATTCACAGCTTCAGTGAGTCTGGTAAATGTGTTGATGTAACCAAGCTCCTGGGGTCAGTACCTGGCACGTGGCAATTGTCAACAGGCACTGGTTATCAATATTGGTGTATCAATAGGAAAAGAGGGGGAAAAAGGAATAAGGGCAACAAAGGGGTAGACCAAAAATGTCTAAAGATTTCACTCACTGTCATCAAGTTGAATCCAATTGATAGTGACCTTCCCCTGGGATTCTGAGGCTATAAATTGTTACAGGTAGAGAGACTGCACATGCCTCCCCTGTGCTGTGGCTTGTGGATTTGAACTGCCATCCTTCAGTTAGAAGACCAGCACATTCAGCACTATACCTTAAAGACTACCCTTAACAATCTTGTTTTCAGCTGAGACATAGGTGCATGTTTATCAGCCAGCTGGGGAAGTGAATGGATTGCGTTGGGCTTCCTATTTAAAAAGGCATTTGGGTCTGAGGGCCACAGGCCTGAGGGCCTTGTTTTAATTGTTTTTGGTCAAGCAGTCTTCTAAGTAGTATAGCACTGGTCTGTCCATTTGCTCTACAGAGGTAACTTGTGGTTGCTGTGAAGCTTAACACTGTGACACTGCTGTGTCAAATGTGATAATGGTTACCCATGATGGACAGTGTTTGGTGGAGCTCCCCAGTTAAAACAAACTTGAAAGCAGGAGTGGCATCCACTTCCAAAATAGCTTGCCTCCAGAAACTCTATGAACTTGGAGAAACCATGAAAGTTATACAATTTTTCAGGTCTTCTGACTCCAGGCACTTAACAACAAACAACAACCCTTAACAAAGGTTCTCAGGATCAGATTACACCTCCATTATCTCTACTAAGATTTAGATTACGAAAGACCTACTATAAAAGGACAAGTTTTCCTCATGCTCTAGCAATGAGAACACAGCATTCTCAGGTGTCTTCCTGGTTCACTACATGGCGAGGTCCCCTGCCAGTAAATGGCATCACCAAGCATTTACACTTCCAAGAGATGACACCATCTTCAGCAGAGGCTATTAGTGTTCACCCAATATTTTTTCCATCCTTTCCTCTATAGGAAGTTGTTGTTCTTTGCCATTGAATCAGAACTGGCTCCTAGCTGAACTTCCAGTAAGTTTTCAGAGGCTGTAAATTACATGGGAGAAAATTACCCACCTTTCTCCCTTGGAGCATTTGGTGGATTTGAACCACTTGCCTCTGGGTTGGCAACACAATTCTTAACCGCTAGGCCACAAGACCATCTTTCTATAGAAAGAGACTGCTCCACTCCATTTTTAGTCATCCTTGCAATTAGAAATGAGACTTAAGTTCTCGCCAATGTGCATGTAAGGGTGCATGCAACTTCTGGGAATTGTCTTTAAGGAGGAGAATGACTGGTTTCCCTTTCCTCCTACCTCATTGGAATGTTGTCATATCAGCTGAAGCATGAACAACCAGCCTGCTTAGACCATGAAGGGAAAGCTCCATGTTGAGGAAGGTAGACTAATAAGACAGAAAAAGCTTGGATTGGAGCTTACTAAGAATGGCATTAATAATGACAGCACTATTGATTGATAGTATAGACTTCAGCTCCTCCAACTCCTTTCTAGAATTTTTTCTATTATACCGACTGCTTCTAACCAACGGGAGTTAGAGTCTTAACTGAAAGGAATGAGTGGCAAAAGTTGTTTTTCTGGTCATTATTAGAGTCATGATGAGTTCCCTGAATTCCATCTGGTGCCTAACACAAATCCTAAAAAGGTGTACTTTTCTCAGGATAGATACAACTCCAAAACGAGCAGGCAATCTGGGTTTTGTGCAGTAGGTGACCTGTACCTCAGGATATTTCCCTCTAAGCAAAGGCAAGGTGTCTCATTTCCTTTTCAAATGATCCATGAAGAACTTGCAATTTGCTCAGGGACCTTAAAGGTAATAATGAACAGAACAAATACTTAACTAGAGGACATTTCAGCCTTGAAAGTTCTGTTTCTAGCCTTAGGAATCCAGAAACTTATCCCAATAATTCTTAAATGTTTGGATATTTGCAACAAATACATTTCCCACCAACACAAATGATTTGGCTATTACTCCAGGCGCTAAGACCCAGGTGAGCCTGAAAATCAGGGCTGAAAGCAATCAGCCCCTAATCAGAAGAGACAGTAATGAAATTAGGAAGAACTGCATTTTGCAGGCATTTAGCAAGCCTGTAATTGTATACCATCTAAATTCTGGCTTGTAAAGCCACTTGAATCACCATAATTAGCCTATTTTGGGAAGGCAACATTCTGAGAGCCAGGGTTTTCAAGCTCATAAGAAAATCTGCTCAAGGAATGTGCGCTGGAATGGAAGTCCAAATATTTCTGCCACTGGTGGGACTGGAGAGAGTGGTGAACCAGTGGATACATCCAGGGGCTTTGTGACAGGCTTCCTCAAGATTAAATTTACACTGTGGTTCCATCTCTCTCCCATTTGACCACTTAGCTCTTATTAAAAATTAAAAAATGTAGCACACTTAAAAATGCTATTTTATTAATTACTCAAATGTTTACTGGGTGCCAGCCATTTAGCAGTTACATTAGGGAATGGAGAAGGGGGGAAAAGCCTAGGAAGATGAGATGGTGAACCAATTGAGGGCTTGTATTGGGGTTAATAAGGTTGGCACAGTATAGGACCAGGTTCAGATTTATTATCCATAGGATCTCCATAAGTCATACTCAGTAGCACCTGACAACATCATGCCTGTTAGCTATTCCAACATAAATCCCCTCCCAGTGCTATAGATTAGCTACTCCCAAGATGAATTTGGACATTATCTGATAGTCTAGTGGGTAAGGAGTTGCACTGCCAAACCCAAGTCAGGAAGTTTGAGTCCAGCAGAAAGATGGACAATCTCCTCTTGTTCCTTTAGAGTCTGTGAAAACCCACTGAAGGGTCACTTATGAGTCGAGTCTAACTCAACAACACTTAATGATATGGATATATTTGAAAGTGGAACAAAGTATAAAAAGAAAATAGAGGAAAATATTACTGCCAAATGTTAACAAAAGTTAACAGGTCAGAACTGATAGAAGTCGTGATATACCACCCAAGTGACAGATTAAGTTTTTGTTTCCCAGATACTTCACAGTGGGATTGCAATGTTGTGATTTTTTTTTAAAAGTTGATTTAAAATAGTAACAACAGAGAAAAGTAAAGTTTCACTCCATCAGGTCCCATAAATGTCAAATGTGTGATTCTGAAGTAGAAGGGTACGCTCAGGCTTGGATTGTGAATTAGGGATGATTCAGCTGAGATAATGAGCAAGACCTGAAGCACTTGCTGCAGAAAGTCAAGGACTGTAGTCTTCAAAATAGATTGAAGCTCAACATCAAGAAGACAAAGATTCTCACCACTCGGCCAACTGGCAGCACCATGGTAGATGGAGAAGAGATTGAGTTTGTTAACAATTTCAGCTTACTCAGCTTCACAATCAACACTCTTGACACTAGAAGTCAGGAAATTATAAAAAAATTTAAAAAATAATTACATTGGGGAAGTCTTCTGTCAGAGATCTATCCAAAGTGCTAAAGAGTAATGATGTCAGTCTAGGGACTAAGGTGTGCCTGATGTAGGCCATGGTCTTCTCAGTTACTTGCTATGCATCAGAAGGCTGGGCAAGACTTGGGATGACAGAAAAAGAATCCATGCCTTTGAGTTGTGGTGCTGGAGAGGAGTATTGAGAATACTCTGGTACACCAAGAGAACAAAAAGGTCTGTATTGGAGAGGGTGAATCCAAGTTTCTCCTTAAAGACAAGGATTTTGAAGCTCTGTCTGACACAATTTTGGACAAGTGACCAGGAGGGACCAGTCCTTGGAGAAGGATATTATGCTTGGAAGAGTGGAGGGACAGCGCAGGAGAGGAAGACCTCAGATGAGACAGATTGACTCAGTAACTGGTGTAATAGGAGTAGATGTGTCAGAAACAGTGAAACTTGCTTAGAATAGGACAAGGTTCAGAGCTATTGTACAAAGGTCGCTATGAGTCACAGGTGACTCGATGGCACATATCAACCACAAAAAGCTATAATGAGCCGTGTGGGAAACGCAAGGAGGAACACTTCAAGCCTAGAAGCAGCCATCTTCACAGCAGTCATGGAAAAGTACTGGACGCCTGACCAGCCTGAATCCATAGATGTGAAGTCCATAGAGCTGCTCCAGCTCTCACTCTACGAGTGACCTTGGACATCATCTATCTCTCAGATCTGCCTTCAGATTCATCCACTTCCCAGAGGAGACAGGAGCGTTTAAATAAGACAGCTTTGTTGCACAGAGCACGGCACTCAGTTTCTTTCTGTGCCTTTCAGTAAAGCTGGAACCTAATGGGCAAACCCCAACAAACCCTCCAATGGCTTGGCTTGTGTTACCTCAAGGACTTGAAAGACACAAAACTGTCCTTTCTTGAAAACAAGTTTAGGCATACATGCAAGTGAAAGCATAAAAACCACTCATCAATTGAGGACTAATTAAATAAATAGTGATCTGTTCATAAAATGGTATGTGATTTGAGGTGTGAAAAGAAAGTTGTTGTCTTTTTAAAAAAATATGCAGAACAGTGCATATAGGTGTGCTACCTTTATGTGAAAGGATAACAGCATGGAGTAAAAACATTTATTTATGTTTGCTGTGGTGCTGGAAAAGAGTATTGAATATACCATGAACACCTACAAGAAAAAACAGGTTCATCCTAGAGAGGGCGAGACTAGGCTGCTCCTTGGAGACAAGGATTCTGAGGCTTCATCTGACATACTTTGGACATGTTACAAGGTGGGACCAGTCCTTAGAGAGGGATGTCATGCTTGGTATGGAGGGACAACACAGGAGAGGAAGACCCTTGATGAGACAGATTGATTTAGTGTCTGGGATAATGAGGGCAGGTGTGTCAGAGACAATAAGATTGGCACAGGATAGAACAGGGGTTAGGGCTGTTGTACCTAGGGTCACTATGAGTCACAGGTGACTTGACTGCACATAACAAGAACAACAACATATACACCAAAAAGCCCCAGTAGCACAGTGGTAAACAGTGGTAAACTGCCCAGTTGCTAACCTTAAAGTTAGTGGTTTGAACCCATAAACACAGTTTCCAAAATCCCTGTGGAGCAGCTCTACTGTGCCATATAGTATCATTGAGTCAGAATCCCTGGCAAAGAGAGCATATATGCACAAAGGCATTCTGAAAGGACGCTTTAATAATGAGCAGGGCTGTGTTTGATTCTGTTGTACGTTGCATCACTGTGACTCAGAGACAACTTGATGGCCCCTAACAACATGGCAAAGGTCCAACACCATCTGTCAGGTGATATGCTGTGGTGACTTGCATGTTGCTATAATGCTGGAAGCTATGCTAACTAGTATGTCAAATACCAGCAGAGTTACTTACAATGGATGGGTTTCAACAGAACTTTCAGACTTACAGCAGAGGAGGAAGAAAGGACTGGCAATCTACTTCTAAAAACTCACCCATTAAATCCTATGAGTCACAAGAGCAGATGGTCTGATAGAGTGCAGGACAATGAGCCCCATGGGTTAGAAGGCACTGGAACCCACCAGCCAGCATGAGGATGGCTCAGGACAGGGCACCATCTTGCTCAGTCGTACTTGGGGTCACAATGGTTTGGGGCTGCTCACAGCAACTAACAACAACAACAGAGTAAAGGTAGTGTGAGAACAGGACAAATGAGAACAGAAGTTAAGAAAATTACTAAGTCTTTATATTTTGCATTTTTGGAGCACATTATTTCATAACTTATTTGAAAATATACTAAATCATGTGAATGTTAAAAACACATATTTTATTATTCGGAGTAAAAAAAAATCTTCATTCACATATATTTCAGTCAAAATCTGACTATGGCTATGGAGATATGAGGCTTCTCCAGTTTGTATGCATTTCACAAAGGACTTGTTAAAGGTGCCGTCCAAGGTTTATAGGCTGTAGGGAACGCTGAGCAGAGGAGAGTCAAGAGCATTACCTTGTCCACGATCTTCAGGTCACAGTCTGCCCTCAGGAGGATCTCCACCAGCTCCACATTCCCACAATCAGCAGCTATTTGCAAAGGGGTTTGCTGTCTCTGCCACGAGAATACTTAGAAATGTAATCCAAGTACAATAAGTGGGGGAGGGAATTAATAATAGTGAAATGGGGGAAACAGAGCTGCCTCACATAAGCATAATAGAAACTGGAAAACATGATCTATTTTGTCACAGATCAGGGAGGACTCATTGCAATGAAAAATTTAAAGAAAGTTGCATGTTTAGCAAAAAAGCGTCATTAGATAAATTGTATCAGGCTTTTTGGCAACTCTTAAAAAGTATCATTAGAAAGTTATTTCAGACAACATCAATCTGGCAAAATGAGAAATGCTTGCCATACAACACATGAGACCTTAGGAAACAAAGCACTGAAGTTGAGCTCAATTTCAATAAAAAGTATGAGTAGAAATACAAAGGCAGACATTAAATATTAGCAATGAGAAGATCTAGAAGGAGGAATTAGAGATTGCTTTATTGTATTCATTATGTTGCTTTGGATTGAATCATGTTATTCCAAAATACTGTCAACTTTGCTAGGCCAAGATTCTCAGTACTATGTTATTATCCTCTATTGTGTATGCTGATGTAATGATTCTGTTATAAATCTAATCTCCATCACATTAGTGAGGAATTATGCTCCCAATGCAAAGATACACAGTTTTAATTCACCAGCTGCTCTGGAGGAGAAGCATGGGCAATCTTTTCCCTGAGATTTACTGTCTCTGAAGATCTGCAGGAGGACCAGCTATGGACTGGTTCTGACTCCAAGGTACACAACTACAACAGCAATGTGTATGAGGGAGGATACAGCCCACAGGATCAGGCTGTCTGTTCAGCCAATCACTTTTTGAGATACAAAAGAGATTAAACAAGCAAGCAGAGAAGGAGGACCTATTTCTATTAAGATAGGAGACCCATGATGAGAACATGTTCTTTGGGCCAATGGTCTCTGTGCTGGGAAGGTCCTGATGCATGCTGAAAGAAGACAAGGACCTTCCTTCTAAATTGTGTGCCAACAAAGAATGAATGCCTTCCCCTAGAGCTGGAATCCTGAATTTGGACTGCTAGCCTTCTAAACAGAAAAAATAAATTTCTGTTTGTTAAAGCAAAATGCTTGGGGCATTTCTGTTTAGTAGCATTAGATGGCTAAGACAGATGATTTTTCCTCTATTTTAAAATTTTCTTCATTATAATGCTTAAAGTAGTACAATATTCCTAATTTATTTCTGGGCTAATAATCAATTTCCTCTAAAAATTATGAGACTATTTCAATGGAAATTTGAAAATTCAAGAAAATTACCCATTTTAATTTCCCATTGAATGAAATGCTGATGTGAAGACATTTTTTAAATATTAGGGAGAAAAGGGAGCTATGGACCTTATTTAGTCCAGTCCTTTCTCCAGAGAGGTGAAGAGAGGTGACTTTCCTGGATCATATAACTGGACAACAGCCAGGAGACCCCAGGGCTGTGATCCAGCTGAGGACTGTCCCCACCAAAGCATAGGGCCAGTCTGCTTGGGGATGTCACCATCATCATTATTAATAAACAGTAATTGAAGGTCCACTTTTGGGTAACAGTGTACTTCTGGGGATTTATCATTCAAGACAGATCACACATAGGTTGACAGATCTATGGAAAGTCTACCCCAATATGAAGCACAGCAATGAATGTAATGCTGTAAATTCCAATCAAGTCTCATTCTGACAATTGCTGTGTGTCTAGAAGGCAGAGAAAAGTTACAAGAGTAACTTTCTTGGTGGGGGTGGGGTGGGGATTATAAATAAGGTCAGTCATGAGTCATTTCTGACTTGATGGGACTAAACAATGTGTGTGTGTGTGTGTGTGTGTGTGTGTGTGTGTGTGAGAGAGAGAGAGAGAGAGAGAGAGAGAGAGAGAGAGAGAGAGATGTGTGCCATCAAGTCAAAACCAACACATAGCTGACTCTGCAGCAAGTTTTTAGAAGCAGGAAAAGATTGCCCATCCTTCTCCTGAAGAGCAGCTGGTAAGTTCAAACCACAAGTCTAGGATTGCAATACAGCTTCTTACCACCAGGCTACCAGATATATATCCACTTGATGGCACCTAACTTGTAAAGTTGTGTGTTCCTGATCTAGAAAAAAAAAATTTTAAATGACAGTTTCTAGTGTTGTAGAATATTAAGAAGCCTCAGAAACTGCTTATGGGGTAGATGTAGTCAGTACTGTTGAAAATTAACCACATATGAACATAAGGTCCTGTCTGTGAATTTGTGTATTAAACAAAGATTCTGCTTCTCAGGGATTTTGTACATTAATTTAGTTGAACACATATGTTGTTATTGTTATGTGTCATTGAGTAAACTACAGCTCACAGCAATCCTTTGCACAATAGCTCTGAATCCTGCCCTATCCTGAGTCAACCTCTCCATCTCTGACACACTTGCCCACACTGACACAGTCACTGTGGCAATTCATCTTATCCAAGGTCTTTCTCTCCTACACTGACTCCCCACCCTTCCAAGAATGATGTCCTTCACCAAGGATTTGTCCCTCCCGGCAACATGTCCAAAGTATGTGAGATGGAGTTTCAAAGTCCCTTCCTCCAAGGAGCAGGATTTCACCCTCCAAACCTGGTTTCACCCTCTCCAGGACACCTGTTTGTTCTCTTGACAGTTCATAGTATGTTCAAAACTCTTCTCCAGAGCCACAACTCAGAGATACTCATTCTTCTTCTGTCATCCTTAGTCATTGTCCAACTCTCAGATGTCTAGCAATTAAGTGAGAAGACCATGCCTGGATCAGGTGCACCTTAGTCTCTAGACTGACATCCTTGCTCCGTAGTACTCTGGAGACATCTCTGACAGTCAACTTTCCTAAAGCAACTTATCTTTTAATTTATGCATACTTATTAACAAGACTGTTTTCCCCAATAAGATGGAGACAGGGTGGCTGGAAGGAGAGTGAATGGACATAAGAGTAGATAGGTTTCCATTCAGCTCAATGCAAAAATTAATTCACAGGCTAGGGCTGGAGGATATTGTAGATATACAACTCAATACTCTAATACAGATGGGGAAATCATGGAGCATGAGGTTAACAATTTGCAAGCTATTGCTTCTTGCTAGCATAAAGGAGACATAACTGAGGTTTCTTGAGAGGTAGCCAGAAGGTTGGAGAGGTGTCCAGGGTTTCATCTTTTTAGAACCTCAGGAACCTCCCCTATCCCCTGTCTTTTTGCTCCTCTTCCCTTTTGGGCACCTTCTGGACAAGGGTCTGAGGGAGCTTTGAGGCTCAGCCTGAAGCCCTAGAGAGCTGACCTAGAGTTCAGACACCACTCCTATCCTTTTTATTACTGTGTCTCGGCACTTCCAATTCCAGCCAGTGATGAATTCCTTTGATTTCTGCTTCAGCTGACTGAATTCAGAGTAATCCTTTCTATCAGGAGGTTTGTTTTTTTTTTTTTTGCCTTTAGGCAAAAGGAAGACACATTTACCGTCTCTAATATACAAAGAGAATTTCCTTCTTGTGGCAGAGGGCTCCCTGCCAATTATAATATATCACTCTTGGGGAGTGACTTTTTATTTCAAGGGCCTCTGGCAATTTACCTCCGAGCTACTCTTTTTCTATCAAAAGTGCTGGGTCTTTTGAAAGTGAACAATTCAATAATGCACTGGGCTGAGCCCAGATTGTGCACTTCAGAAAGACAAAGTATGTGTGTGGGAGGAGGGGTGGGGTGACAGAAGAAAAACAATGCACTTATTCCTCCCAGGAATTTTCAGGGCACCTTGAACTTGATCAAAACAACTACTACACTGACACTGCATTGAAACATGGGAAAACAGACTCTCAGGTCCTGATTTGCCTGGCTTACCTGATTTAAGATGTCAGCTTCATGTTGTGCACGTAAGAGGCTGTTTACAACTGCGACATGGTTGTTGGTAGCAGCTAAATGGAGAGGGGACTCCTTGGGCTACAGAAGGAAATAAAAATGTTAAGTCCTAGAGATGCTGATTTAGTGACTGTAATAAAAAAGCAAGTCGTGTCAGCAGACACTTCCTGATTATGCCTTGAGTACTCACTGCACAGCACCAGGACAGCCCCATGGGTCATGTCCACCCCATGGCTGCCCACAAACCTGCTCTCTTCATTCTGGAACAATCTACTGAGCACCAACTATGGGGCCAAAGGCTTTGGAAGCTAGGAATTTATTTGTGTATAAAACATACATGGTCGGTTCGCAAGGACCTTCCAGTCTCATGGAGTAGATAAGTGAATACTCATTTCTAAAATCACATAAACACACATGGCAAAAGGTAACAAGTGCTTTAGAAGCGTAGAGAATGTTACAGAGAATATGGAGGTAGGAGTGGGGTTGCCTTCCTAGAGACCCGAAACTACTGCTGTTGAGTAAGTTCTGACTCATGGTGATTCTGCAGGACAGTAGCACTGCCTCAGGATTTCCGAGTCTGTAAATCTTTATGGAGTAGACAGCTTCATCTTTCACCCGCAAAGCAGCTAGTTAGTTCAAACCACTAACCTTTTGGTTAGCAGACAAATGTTTTGCCAGGGCACCACCAGGGCTCCTGGAGTTCAGAAAAGGCTTTCTCAAACACAGTCTAAGAAAGTATTCCAGAAGACTTATTTGCAGGACTTCTCAGAGCCTTCAAAGAGCAGAAGTGCATTGGGAATGGCCTTCAGCCATTTCCTGCACATATTCGATCTAGAGTTCTTAGTGCATCTTGTCTCTACTCACCTCAAGATCCTTGTTCTGCTCTTCAGCCCTCCCCTGAACATTTCTTAGTCCAGTTACAATGGACTCACCAAGCCCTCTGCAATCAGGGCCCCTCTCCTCCTTGTCCGTAATTACAAGAACCTATTTTCCAGGCTACCTAATCAGGAGCCTCTTGACCCCTCTTCCCATCCCAAAAAAGCTCTGTCCAAGCCCAGCTAGGCTGTAGTGTCCACTTCCACACTACCCAGGCTCCTTATGCTATATCTCTCTCACTCAATTGGTCATAGAGTATGGGAGAAAATCTGTGTCCAAGAGTAGGTAAGGTGAATGAGAGGGAGGAAATAAGGGTAGGGGAAAGAGAAGTGAAAGGAAGTTTGGGGCAAAAGTGGTTAAAATATAATAAGAGTCAGATATGGGGGTGCCCAGTGAGAGTGGATATGATGGGGAAAGCAGTGGAAAAGAGGAGAGTGTACAGATGTGAAAGTGCAAGGGTAGAGGACTCAGTAAGACTGTGAGAAGTCAGCTGGATGCAAAGTGAGCAGAGAGAGGAAACACAGGTATCCAGGAGAGTGATGAGTGACATGTTATGGATTGAATGATATGCTTCTCTCCTCCACCAAAAAGATACACTGAAATGCTAAACCTTTGTACCTGTGAACTTGAACTTGTTTGAGATAAGATCGAGGATGATGCTGCTGGTTGAATTAACTGAGATTATTCCTGATAGCTGCTGATTGTGCTCTAGTTTCTCTCATCTGAGAACTCTTCTTAGAGAAGAGTGGAAGCAAACAGAGGGAAGGCACCATAGGTTATTGTAAGTCCAGAAATTTCCTGGGGTTACCAGAAGCTGAAATCATTGCAGTTGAGAAAACTCTTAGTCAGAGCAACATCCCATAAGGTTTCTGAGGTTGTAAATTTTTATAAGAGAAGACTGCTGATTTTCTCCCAAGGAATAGCTTATGGGCTTAAATCACTGAATCACTGACCTTTTGGTTGTTGCTGTTATGTGCCATTGAGTCACCTGCAACTCATAGTGACCTTATGCACAATAGCTCTGAAAACCGTTCTAGCCTGAGCCAGTCTCACTGTCTCTGACACACCTAGCACCATTCCCCCAGTTACTGCATCAGTCCATCTCATTTGGGGTCTTCCTCTGCTACGCTGTCCCTCCACCCTTCCAGCAGCATGTAAAAAGAGCAAGGGCCTCATGAGGATGGTCATATTTGACCTTTGCCAACTTCAGAAAGTTAACTGTCCCTGTCAACAGCATCAACAACATAAAACTAATTGCCATGAGGTCAGACATGTACCCATGATCCTGTATCTCTTTCTATGCATTTCAAAAGCAATCTTACGACATGATAGTATACTTAGAAAACCCTAAAGACTCAGCAAGAAAACTATTAGACGTAGTTGACCAATTCAGCAAAGTAGCAGGATACAAGATCAACATACAAAAATCAGTTGGCTTTCTCTACCATGACAAAAAGAATACAGAGCCAGAACTAAG